ACTGGGTATCCGTTAGATCGAAATAGCCGATATAGAAAGCCTAGTTCTTTCTTCAGCAGATCTTCATTGCTGCAATACCGGTAGGCTCGGTGGAAGAGGGTTCGGACGCAGCTTCTTTTGTGAGCCGCAGGGTGATTGCTTCTATAATTGAGGATCATCTCAGAATCAGACCCTTTTCTATGGACGCTGGTTGCGAGGTTACCGTCATCCAGCCTTTGTATTTTCACGTCCAGAAACGACATACTGTCTCCTACTGCCTCTTCGCGGGTAAATTGTATGGCCGGAAAGACTTCATTCAGCCTCTGATGTAGCCTTTCGACGTCGCGGTTCTTTATTACGACAAAGGTGTCGTCTACATAGCGGAGCCACATTTGGGGGTTGAGAGTTTGAAAAACCTCATGTTCTAGTCGCTGTAGCACTAGTTCGGCGAGTAGAACGGATATTGGGGAGCCCATTGGACTTCCCTTCACCTGTTGGTAGTACTTATTGTCGAACTTACAATAGTTCTTAAGGCACAGTTGGAGCAGTTCTATAACGTGGTGCGTTGGGATACCAACAGGATTGTCCTGTAGCCGTTGGGCTACGCAGTCAATTGCCAAGTCGTGCGGTATAGAAGAAAATAAGGCAACGACGTCAAACGACAAGAAGCATTCATCAGTGCTTACATTGAGGCCGTCAATCCGGTTGAGGAATTCGTGGGAGCTGTTAATGCTGTAGCGAGATCCGTGAGTTAGCGACTTCAGATGCTTGTACAGCCACTTGGCTAAATTGTAGGTAGGGGATCCGATGAGCGGTACTATAATCCTCAATGGGGCACCAATTTTGTGAACCTTTGGGAGACCGTATGCGTGTGCGACATGGGGATCACTGAGGGTCATAAACTTTGAGTCATCTGGACCTATGACTTTTAGACGAGCAAGCTCATTAACCTTTTTCTTGATGGCTGCGGCTTGCTTTTTCGTTGGGTCTTCGGTGAGAATGGTGTACGAATCCGTGTCACTGAAGATTATATTCGCCTTGTTGACGTAGTCAGTTTTGTCCATGATGACGGTAGCGCCACCTTTGTCGGCAGGAACAACAACGATGCTGTGGTCCGATTTCAGTGCTCGCAATCCTTGCGCTTCTTCGGCCGGTAGAGTTTGCTGGTGTCTTTTTTGCCGGAGGATACCAGTGGCACAGCTGCGTATGTCCGCGCGCTTGTCTTCAGGCAGGACGGAGGTCAGTAGAATGGATTCGAGACCAGCTAGAAAGTTGGTAGGTGTAGCATCCGTGGGATTAAATCCTATTCCCTTAGACAGGAGGTTGATTTCAGCCGGTAGGAGATTCCTTTTCGAGAGGTTAACAACTCTCGTGGCCATACTTCTTTCATTCATGGGGCGGAGCAGAGACTGGAGTTTCATCTGGAGGTCAACTCTCTTCTTCAATCTCGCATCCTTGGCTGTGGCATTGATTCGCTGTTGCACCTCCTCAAGTACATTTTCAGGTAAGGCTGAAGCACACTGATTTTTAAGGTCAGCAAGAGTGGTTTCGAATCTGCGAATTCGATTGTGGACGTCAGATATTATAGCTCCCAGAACGCACCATCCGTATTTGTACGCAAGGGATCTCCCAGTCTCATTCGACAGCGTTGGTTTGAAACGAAGAGACTTCGGTAACACGCCATGATCGCGGCAACGGTGGAGGAAGGTCAATTGTTCGAACGTCGTCGCCTGTCTCTGTGCAAATTTCTCCCAACGTCTCGTAAGAATAAGCGTTTGACGCCCAAATATATGTTGTAGAGTAGAAGGGGTAGGCATTCCGAGACGATATAATGAAAAAGGAAGAGGTTCTTAAAAAAAATCGAGTTGTACTCGTGAATTTTCGAATTGGTGACACCAACCCGTCGTCAGACGAAATGAAGAGAAAAGAGAGAGTGAGACAGTCACACTAGACTAATAGACGAGACAGGGCAAACATTGGCGGACGAATCATTAGCATGTGAGGAGGGATGCGGGTAGGGAGTCATGCTGGGTTCTGAGCCGGGAGGGTAGGAAGGGGGGGGGAACCGTTACGGCTCCCGTGTTGGAGGGGAGAGTAGAATGGTAGGTTGGCAGAACTGCGGGCGCCTGGATTAGCGGCTGCTGATGCGGCGTGGGGCTCGGCTTAGTGAGGCGTGATCTTAGGCCCTCATAATGGACGCCTAGGTCAACATGGCGGTTGATGCTATCCGCGTTAGAGTGCCATGCCTCTAGGAATTCTCTCGCCCGTTTTGTGTTGGCCGTGGCGATGACCTCGGTGTTATCCCAATTAAAACGGTGGTCGCATTGGAGTGCGTTTGCAAAGACAAGGGACAGTGGATCACGGCGACGGACAGCTAGTTTGTGTTCATTAATACGAGTTCCCAGGCGTCGTCCTGTATGACCAACATATACGCAGGGACAATTGGCACACGGGATGCGATAAATGACGTTAGTCTGTTCCTCTTTGGGGATAGAATCCTTTACTCGAGTTAAGACTGTGCGCAGCGAGGATGCAGGCTTGTGGGAAACGCGAATACCGAACTGACTTAACTGACGGGCGATCATTTCTGAGGTCCCCCGCATATAGGGCAGGGAGAAGAATTTCCGCGTCACGGTTTCTCCATCTGAGGAGGGGTCTCGAGGTTGTGCCTGACGTCTGAGGCAGTTCTTCACGAAACTGACTGGGTATCCGTTAGATCGAAATAGCCGATATAGAAAGCCTAGTTCTTTCTTCAGCAGATCTTCATTGCTGCAATACCGGTAGGCCCGGTGGAAGAGGGTTCGGACGCAGCTTCTTTTGTGAGCCGCAGGGAGACTGGAGCTCCCTTGTCTTCGTCGGTAGCAACACTCCATATACATATATATATAGGCAGAATGGCATTACCGACAAAGACAAGGGAGACTGGAATGGCCATTTCCGGCTTATTAGCCATAGTCAGCCAGCCATACCCAAGCCCGAAGTGTGGAACACCCGAGCCTCGAACTCGCGACCTGTTGGTCCACACTTCGGGCTTGGGTATGGCTGGCTGACGACGGCTAATAAGCCAGAAATGGCCATTCCAGTCTCCCTTGTCTTTGTCGGTAATGCCATTCTGCCTATGTATCATGCGCCGCTGTGCGGCTGCTGGTTGGGCTCGAGAGAGAGAGCCCGTAAGGCACAACGGAACGAGTGAGTTCCGTATGAACGATCGGTGAGCGCCCCCTATCATTATATATATATCTATATCAAGCAACCACGTCATTCTCACTGTTGTAGTTAGGATCTTCTTTGATTAACAGTAACAAGCTGACGGGCAGATGAATTGGTATCTTAGCCGTAATTCTGCTGGTGACGTGCCTGCTTGACACGTTTATGTTGTTTCGTTCCCTAATGTCTACGTCGTACTGATGATCGACATAGACCGTGAAACATCCGCTTGCGTCTGACATGTTGCAATCTTAATGAATTGTCCCTGGCCGAGTTGTTACTGGCTGACAACGGCTAATAAGCCAGAAATGGTCATTCCAATCTCTCTTGCTTTTTGTCTGTAATGTTACCCTGCCTACTTTACATGCCGCTTTGCAGATGCTGGTTGATTCCGAAAGAGAACCCTTAGGCATCTCGGGACGAAGGGCTTACTTAACACAATCGGTGAGCGCTCCTCTACCACTGAGCCACAGGCTCGTTGTTCTGTCGGCTGCGATTCGGAATATACAACGGTAGAGGGACGTTCACCGATTGTATTAAAGAACGCATTTGTCCTGTTGTGCCTTGAGACTCTTTCTCGAGATAAAAATGGCCATTCCAGTCTTATTTATCTTTGTAGCTAATGTTATTCTGTATATATACACGTGTGTATATAGGTGGGATAATACTACCGACAAAGACAAGGGAGACTGAAATGGCCATTCCCGGCTTATTAGTCGTCGCCGGGATCGCACCCCAGATGTTCCATACCACATTTCACCCATAAGTTCACAACAAAATGTATGCGGATTTTTTTGCGTTAAGACCGGCGCTCATAGAACGTGTGCAGTCAACAGCCTACTTAAAAAGGCTTAAAGATACGCTGCTTTGGCAAAACGTGATCAAACAGAACTTAAGTATTTTTAAAAAACCTTTTCTGATAGTGGCTGTACTAGAGACTGTGTTCATGAGACAACAGGAATAAAAAGAAAATGACAAGGTATTAGGTCGTTGCAGTCAGGCGCCAGACCAAAAAAACTGCCGAACTTTTTTCTTACTGTGAGAATGTGCCCGAAGTCGTTGAAAGATGCCGGATATGGCATCAGCTCTAAGTGGTACACAAACAGATGAATACATTGCACACCCTGCTTCAATAACCTAAGGATGTGATTGGCTATGTTGATAACAAATAAGTAATGTACAAGATTTCATGCGCCACCGACAGTACATTATGCAGTAATAAAACTGGCAGTAAAGAGGCGAGACCACTTGTTCCAAGTCGCCATGCGGACATTAGGAATCGGGCACACATCTTCTCGGGACATAAGGTGCATTGATGTTATCTGGCCATCTAAGAAAGAACGTAAATTTCTAGAGGCTATACACTTCGATGACTCATACAATAATCGGCACAGCAAATTGCATGCTGTATGCCAAAAATCTCAAGAAAAAACGGAAAAGCTTACAACCAATCTGAACCGAATGACGGCCCACAGTGACTGGCTATTGTCAGGAGTGACAGAGTAGTATTTATTTTTTAGACATGTTAAAAACGTTAACTACTTTATGTTTTTATTGGATGACTGAGGACGGCCTGGGGAACCAACGTAGACAATTTAGAAAATAAAGTTGTTTAGCTCTCCCAGCAAACATATGCCTTCAAACATATACGTGTATCAAAAGTAGTGAAAATGCGATTCCCAGGTGGCATATCAAAAGAAGAGAGGGCGTTCACCGGGAGGGGTCTATTTGAGGTCCGATGTTTCGAGTAGTTTATTCGTCTGCGCATCTTCAGAGTCACGGCGCGGGACAATCGGGGCCGTCAGTCAACACCGCGGCCGACGGGGCCGATTCAGGTGACAGTGACATGCTTGTTGGATGCAGTCAAACAGGCGGCATTGGCGGGTCACGCCGCGACTCTGAAGATGGGTAGACGAATAAACTACTCGTAGTGTCGGACCTCAAATAACCCCTCCCGGTGAACGCCCCCTCTTCTTTTGATATACGTGCATATTGGTAGAGGGCACTCACCGATCTTTCTCACGGAACTCCCTCGTTACCTTGTAGCTTACGGATCGAAACTGACAGGACAACGGGCCCGTGGCCCAGTGGTTAGAGGCGTTGCACTTCTAACTAACAGTTCGCAAGTTCGAGCCCCAGGGGCTCCACACTTCGGGGTTGGGTATGACTTGTTGACGACGGCTGAAAGGTCAAGAATGGCCATTCCAGTCTCCCTTGTCTTTGTCGGTAATAACATCCTGCCTACATATATGTCTGAATAACTGACTTGGTGTGTATTTCAAGGTGGTATAATGAAAATAAAGAGGCTGTTCGGAAAATCGGTTTGTACCCGTGAATTTCCAAGTCATCGCCAACCCATCGTCAGACGAAATGAACAAAAGAGAAAGTTACATCGACAGACTAGGTTGGTTCGCGTGACAGGACAGACAACGACAAACAGACTTGTCGCGCCAACCGACCTAGTCTGCCGATCTCACTTTCTCCTCCTTTCATTTCGACTGACGACGAGTTGGTGTCACCAACTTGAAAATTTACGAGTACAAACCGATTATCCGAAGAGCATTATCTTGTTCACATATATGTATATGTCTACACTGTTTGTGCGCACGTTTGCACTTCTGAACCCAGGCGGTGGCCAAGAGCCCTTGCCTTACCAGATGCCTAGTCCGCGACGACCTAACAGGCCCTCTCCAGCGTTACAATTTGGTAGAACTAACTTGCATGGCCCCCTTAACAGGACATAGGAATAGGAATCGCCTGCAATACGTGTGCCTTTGGGCTAAACTCCAGTGAAATTGGAGTTAGGTTTAAGATAAGGATTAGGGTTAAGTTAAGGACTAGGTTTAAAGTAAATCAGGATTGAGTTTGGGGTTAAGGTTGGAGGTAGTGTTATGGGGCGTTCCTATCCACGTGCCCTTTTTAAGGGGCCATATAAGTCAGTCATCCTGAGAGTTGTTCTTCGGTTGTCCAGGGACCCGGTTAAGCCGTGGTCTAACAGGTTGTGCTTATGCTTACGTCAAGGCGGAACCCTGACTCCCCATAGTACTCGCCACTAAAATGGCCAGGTCTCTAGGTCAGCCCTGCCCGTAATTTCTGTCCTCACTGGCACTAAAGCCATCATGGACGGAAACTTTGGCCGTCTTCTGCATAACAGCTAGGAAGGCACTCAGAACACTGTAGAGCTTGTACTCCATGCAGTCGGGACTTGCCAACT